TGGGTTATCTGCCCTATTGGTCACTGGTCCTAAACAAACAATGCTCATCTTCTGAAGAACCGAGACCTAGACGTCCCCATACATGGTCTTATAATCAAGACCAGTCAAGAAGACCATTAAGCAGCCAATTATAATTCAACATTTTAATAGAAAACGAATATCATAATCATCATATACACACAAATAATACACCATCCTGCATAAATATCATAGATTATTATCATTATGAGGAAAGGGAATCGTGCCAATCACTTCGTTTTGTGCTCCACATAAACTATGTATTTCCCATTTGTAGGATATAGCATATCTATGAGAATCGTGCTTGAGTCGCGCGTCCAAAAGGATGAGTAAACCTAGTAATGACAAGAGATCTACCATACGTCCCAAGGATTTCCAACGAGTTCATGCACATTCCGAACTTTTTACCAGTTTCAATCGTTGCGAGAACGAGAAAGGCTGTTGTAGCAGCGATGTACCGTTGAGTTCGACGCGGCAAAGTGCAGACTTAAGTATAAAAGCCAGGTCTAGTTGGAACAAATTAAAGAGGAATTGTAGCAAATGCAAGAAACATCGATATGAGCATTCAAATTTCCTAATCTGGATGATTTAAAAAGAAGACACCTCCTACCAAAATTGCACAAAAAACTCAAGCCACCACACAATACCAACAGATACCTAGTCAAACTTCGTTTTAATCCTAGTAACTAGCCGAACGAATCGAGCTAAGATGGACAATACAGCTGCGAGGGTATGATCTGCACGCGTCGTTTTGCTTAGACGACAAAGGGTAGAAGAGAATAGGAATAGGGAGACCGCTGTGTTAAAATAAATATGAAACATCGTGCACGAAAAAGATTTAAGTTTTCCTTTCAGCTTTAGACATCACCTAAGACTAGACATTGCGTTCAACAGACTGACTGGGCAATCAGGGGGCACGATTTGTTAGGGATAACTTTCCTTCTCTAGGCGAACGCAGTGTGAAGACCTTTAAGGTCATTTCTTTTTTTATGGCTCGTTAGGGGCACATGGAAAATGTAGGTTTAAATGTAGTACTACGTTCCGCTTCATGGAAAAGGAAACGGACAAGTTACCTTGAGTTCTCAAGATTGTTTGTGGAAAATGGCTTTATTGCTCAAAAAATACGACGTGGCAAACATCTACATACATATATTTATATATATGTATGTGATATACAAAAACTAAACTCAAATAATGACCATCTGTGCATAATTTTACAGCAAATCATCTATAGACGATTGCTTTGGTTAGGCTATTTCAGTTGTTCTCATGGGCCCTTTTTCTAATTGTGGGACACAACCGGGACAGAGGGCGCAGATCTGAGAAGCTTTAAAACGTACGAGATCGAGCTGACAAGGCAGAGTTTGTAATTGATAAAGGTCTCCTTCACGTAGCTGATTAACTAGACACGAGTTTTCGCGTGAAAAACGAAGACTATCCTCGTCTAAAGAGTAGATCACGGAGTACGAGTCAAAACCGACAAAAAACAAGCCGGTGAAATCGAGGTTCGAGAAATCTATAACGATAATGAAAGCGAGGCCAGTAAATACTGTAGGTTGAAAATACGTGGATCGATTCAATCCCCTTCTATTGAGGTTGTGGCCTACATCTAGAGGTTATACGCGAGTTTGACTCCGTAAGCCATTGGGTACTACAACAAAATAGGCAGCTTCGTTCGTCGGAAATCATTTTCTCTAGGACTTCCAGATCAGCTTTCCATGCAACTCGTCTACTTTTGGTTATATTGATAGTAACTCACGTGATACGTTATATATGCTATTCACTATACAAATTTTGGACATATTGCAAAAGTCGAAGTCTACCAGGAAGGAAAATCGAAATGTGCCGATGAATATGACGTTGCTTTGGTTACTTTTGCAAAGCTTTGTAAATGGCGTTTGCTTTTTGTAAATGACGACTATTCTTTTTATGACGAAGCAATATTGGCCGGAAGATAATGTTGGAAGTAATTTTGTTAGTCTTGATCGCAAAAATTTAAATTGCCGCCTACGTCCTCGTCTTTTGTGATTGAACATATACTTGTCAGTGGCCTATAACGCAACCTTAGATATAGAAAAATATGTAAAGATAACGAAGTGTGAAGCTGAGTTACATATTTGAGTAAAATCTTACCATGAACATTGATAGGTCGTGAAAGCTTTGAGGGGCATTATGGGTAATTCTGAACTTTTTAAAAAGGCATTGATATAGATCATTTCAACAAATCATCCAGTTTATGCTACACGTTATGATCCGTAGAACCTTGGCCATGCAGTTTGAACAGATGTTGCTGAAAGGGGATCCAGCTTGAAGTTCTATTGCATAACTACAATCAACACTGCAATGTTTGTATCAACCCATCTCTTCTCAATATATATTTCTAATTTCCATAATTTTTTTGGCTGGTTTATTTCTGTCGCAAATTGAACCTTGATACTAAACGATAAAGTACAAAAGTTGCGAGATACTCTTGTGGCAAGGCTTATATCAACACACCTAAAACCATACCCCTCAAATGTATACTATCCCGATTGTCCGAAACCACTAAAGTTATAGTTTACAATCAGCAATGTTAAGTTCTATAGGCCTAGCCAAAAATCTCGATGTCTTTTGGAAATCACTGTATGTTCGGATTTCGACTTTCATGTAGAAATGATCTATAATAGTAAGCTAGCCTTTATCCTAAATGTCATACGCGAGAAGGTATTTTGATGGTTTTTTTTTACCGTAGTTCCTGCTATACCTCGGCTATTTCTGGGATCTAAAGCCGACAGTTTTTCTAAACGAGCACTAAGGTAATGCATTTTATGATGTTTTTTTTTTAACGCTATAATGGGATAACAAACGCCACACGACGTCTTACTGAGCAATCAACACATCTGAAAATATTTGTGTAAGAAGCTTTATTGTATTTTCAAGGCGTTTCCCCTCTGTCTGAAAGCGTGGGGTAATTTATCTCTACCATTAGCGGCTCTAGCAAACAACGGGATTTCTGTAAATGGCCAAGGTAAACCTTGATTAGAATGTCTTAGCGAAAGCGTGTTTTTTGCTATTGACAACGGGTGTCGTTGAAGTTCGTAAACGAACACCGCTAATCAGATCTCGCGTCCGGGCTCATCAGTGATGCAATACAGTGGCCCATATGTGAGACCGTGTTATCTTTCAGTTTTTCATTAATAGATGAACGCAATCCTTGCAAATTAGGTGTTTTCAATTAACACTTACCTATGTCCCTGATGTAAATCGTCGGATGCGCTATATATGCGTCCACTGTTTTTAAAACCTTTACTGTGTAAACAAGTTTTCATAAAACACGGCATCAACGACGTGTCCTTACAAAAAGGTTTAGCTGGCGTGGGCTGGATCTAACTGGGATTTCTCCAATATGCATATGATTATGGTATCGATGGCATAATAACTATATATTTACGCGGTAATTGAAACCAGCGATGGTCACATGTTTGTGTGGTTACCATGACAACGCTCTCAACGAGAGGCGCTTTGGTCATACGTAGTAGACCGTAGCAGGTACATCATTTAAGTGCAAAATAGTGTTTTAAATTGTCTTTATAATAACAATTGCTCATCAAACACTCAAACACAAGCCATAACCTGCACGTCTTTTATAACTCTGACCGACCATCCGAAATTCGGTGCTACAGCGCACTTACGATTCAAGTTATCCAATTGAATACTGCATGATATTGTGCCCTTAACAAAGACAAGCTATGCTGTATATTTTAACCTATTTAATAGTTAATCTTTGACTAATCAGCCTTAATGTTGATACTTACCCAGTCCACAGTTTCCTCAGCTAGAGCTTGAACAAAGGCTTTTCTTGACGACTATCACCTATATAATTGGTTAATAAGTTTGCAATACCTATACGCAAAATTAAGATTAGAAATTCATCTCTCGTACTGATCTGGAACTGGCCTTATATCGTCCCACGTATTATATGCCATACAACGAAAACGATATACTTTTTGTTTTTCTCGATCAAAAATGCACGGCAGAATTTACTGCGTTACGTTGCTACTACATCTAAAAGGGTAGAGTTCTAGAATATTTTTTGTATCGTAACAGATGGGGCAGAGAACGGTGCAAATTGCGTAACTGCGGCGGGCACGCTTGCCCCTTTTGGGCGACCGAATTTGCATGCGTGTATTGCAACAGGGATTGGAAGTTTACGAGTGAGTAGTTGTTCTGACATTCTTTTGCGGCTATCGCAGGCCAAAAACACCGCATAAATTGAACAGCGATAAATGTAGTGATTAATTGTAAGCGGCATTTTGATGATTCAATACACAGTGATATCTGAGCGTTTCATCGTAGAACGTTGATTCTTTATTCGACAGGTAATTTATTGAAGGCAGGTCAATTATAATTCATGTTAGAAGCTCCTCCCATCTGACTGGAAAAGAAATAGAAAAATAATCAGTCAGTGAGTTTTTCAGACTAATGTCAATCTAGCTACATACTCCTCTGGGTACTTAACTTTAGAAATGATTAGGGGCCGTGATACTGCGGATACGATTGTTGGTCGGATGGTCTAGTTGACTTGCCGATCTTAAGTCACTATTAAGATCTTGATCGTCACACGGCTCAAAAGTACCAAGATACTTCTGCAAACAGGCTGCCGCGCATAGCGACCGTATCACCTTTGATTGTGATCTTCCACCACTGTTCTGTCACACTGGGGCAGAAGAAGCTGCGTAGCAGCTCAGCAGAGGTAATGCTCGCAAGTTAAGCCGCGCCCTCCGGTTCCGTAAACACCAGCCTGTAGCATACGCAGACATAAACCGGAGACACTCGACGAATCCGCGAAAAAGCTCAATGCCAAATCTATCAGCGGATGCGTCAGTATAGATGAACGTGTATGCGGGTGTGTGCGCAAGTGGGACTATGCGTTGATAGCTAGATGCTTTCGTGATACCGAAGGCAGTGACGACGGCAACTCCTCACGTAAACAACTGTCATCACGAGTATCATCGGCATCGATGAAGATCATCTACTCCAACTTCATCCTCGCCCTCTAACATCGAACTATTTAACGGCGCTGCTGGCTTCGGCTCCACCAGTGCAGTTTTGGGTGAAGTCAGATCTCCTGTGTGTTTGTTCGCCATTACAGCCTGTATCGTGTTCATTGTTGCGGTGCGTTCGACGCCGTACTCTGCGCCGTTTATTTTCCAGTGTTGCGTACCGCGGATTGTCCTTTACATCGAATCTATCGATAGCTGTGAGCGCGTTCTGTGAATCGCCAAATTGAGCTGCCATGAGGCAGCTTTTTGTTGCCAGTGTAGCTCTCCTGGTCGTTCAGGAGGCTCTCAGCTATGGTACTGTGAGAAGACGACAGAAACAACCTTATCTACCTCCTCCACCTCCCCCTCAGGACAGGATTAGCACACAGTATTACCCTGCATCGCACGTGAGCATTCAGTTTGGTTCACTTGACTGTTTTATCACCTCACTGCGACACATTGCCCAAATTAGTTCCGCAAGTTAGTATGAAGCTAAATAATGTTTCTGGTAACTTAAACGTTGGTCGATGATCGCGCCTCTTTATCTTTACAACGCTTGAAAAAGGTAGATTACGTCGTTAAACTTAGCTTACATCCCCGCAGAACTGCTCTTCGTTGCAGAATTTTCGTTCGACAGATGTCCACCACATTCTCCATGATGCACAGCATTCGGCTAGGGAGCAGGCACACTCGCACGTTACACATCATGTCGCGCCCGTTGTCCGCACTCACGTTCACCACCATCCCCCAATTGAAGTTCTGCGGACGACGAAAACCATCTATCAGCCACCGGACATTGTGCATCGCACAGTCGACTACGAACACCATGACCACGTTACTACCCATTATCCGGGATCAACGCAGGCCCATACTCATACAGACTACTACCCGGCAAAGGTAAAACATTGAGCTTCGCAGGAGCATACGCTGCATAGTTATCCTATTAAACACGTCAAAGCATTCTATTGTGCTGTCGTTCCTGTGAAAAACCCAACATCAATTTAATCACCTAGTTCAGATTGTCATGATGGCTATCCTTTTAGAAAGATCGGCATATCGACCCCGTTGAACGAGACGAAAAGGTACGGCATGTAAATGGAACACGAATGAACTCTAACATAATATCACAAAAATTCTACAGACAGCGCGAACTCATACGCAATCGGTCGACGATAAAGTTTCGACAAATCGCAAAGCAACAGAAGCTTTTTACGACGATACCCGATATGATCACCACCATCATCACGACACCCAAGCTCACTTTGGTCGGGTGCCCACGGGAAATGCTATCGTCACCTCGTACTTTAACTTCCCTGGTAAGTAAAGGGCCAACCGAATAGCGCGTGTCAGAGCTAAACGCGTGCCTGAGTACACTAGAATATTGCTAGCTGCATACTGCTCCATCCTGTAGCAGTATGCAGAGGTTGTTTTTTTGCCGAACAGAAGCCACAGCTTTTGTCGCCTCTGAAAATTCTAATGGACTAAGTGTTGTGCGATCTGTAACACTTAGTAAAAGTAGACTGAGTATCCTCTACGATACCATCGTAGAAGGATGCGGCCTGTGGCTAGACTGGGCCGTACAGACAATGCAAAGAAGCGCATTCAAATCCCTGCATTAGTGCTGCTTGGAGATTTTAAAATAGGCAACTATGTTCAATATATCAGTGGTAGAGTAGACAGTAATCTTTCAAACGCTTAATTATAATGGAAGAAGTTCCTGCGGGTGGAAGATAGGTGTGATGGTTAGTTCTGGATGGGGCCAAAAACTCGTAAGTTCCATGAACTCGGCGACTTGGGCAATAGTGCATAGCATTTCCAGGCGGAAATAACAGCTAGTATCGTACGTTTTTTGAATATCGAGGCTCTGTATTGAGTTTATAAAATGCTACTGCGTAAAAACATATTCTTTTTTTTCATGTGGCCTTTGCTCATCATGAAAGGAAAGATGTATTTAGGCGTCTAATGTAGCACAGATAGCATACAGATTTTATCTCGGTTCCATGAGACGATACATTGGTTCTAACGTATGGTTATTAGAGTATATTCATTAACTAGCAATTATATTATTTACTATTTTGTATAGTTTTGTTCTTTATGCTTAGATGCACGGTTCTGCGAACGGTGGTTTTGATATACCAAAAAGGCTTTGGAATTTTGCCGCAATCACTGCGATTTATTTTATTTATTTTCAACATCTAAATACCGAAACCAAATGCTTCCTTCTCACTATATCCAGGATCAGGACGATCAGACAACGCCTTCCAAGCGCCAGCACCTCCGGGCAAAATAGACTACCGGCCCGCGCGTGCTTATAACACGCCAGCTTATTCTCCACTTCAGGCGCAATCGATTGAAGATGGCGACGATGATGACGTCCCTCAACCAGCTCCAACAGTCAAACAGAAACCTCACCTGCCTGTTTATGAAAGAATCAGCTCTTCAGTACACAGCCGAACAACGCACGTGCCCTACTATACTGGCAAAGTACCCGAAACCAAAAGCCCTACGGTAAACCAGGCCTTACATTTTTCATTGTCGTACTGTCAATGCTCGTGCTTTCATCTCCATTTCGATTCTTCTGTACTTTTTGGCCTTATAGTCGCATATTGGCCTCTCGCACTTTTCAATGGGCTCAATCCAATGTCGGTGGCGCTTCAATCTGATTCGTCGACATCCACAATTTAAGATTAGGTGATAGCTTGATTATTTAGCAAAGCTTAATTAAATCTCTGAATGACGAGATTGCGGTTCGTTTTTTTAGAATATAGTGTGTCAAGCGTTAAAAAGTTTTTTTTTTAATTTTAGAAACTGTCTCAGTCTAAATGTAACTCAACACTAATTATTTTTGATTTCCTAATTGTAGAAGGTGTTCCCACTACCACCTTCTACGCGACCGTCTGACAGCGTCATTCCGCCAAGATACCCGATGGCATCCTTTATAAGCGCAAACCGTAGGCGACCTGAACCCCTGCAGCTTAATGAAAAAGAAATTGAACTTCGTGAGAAAAGTCGTGAGTCCAAAGAAGAGAACGACGACAAAAATGGAAGTGCGATAAAGAAAAATCCGCCTCTTTATAAACCGTCACCTATTCCGAGGTCATTTCCTTTTCCTGAGCCTGCTCGGCAACATGTCCAAGACACTGGAACGCAAACCAATCCGCATCCACAAAACTTAAATCAGCAGACTGAACGAGACCCAAATAAGCTTCCTCAAAACTTAAATCATACTGAGGAGGACTTACTTAGGCCTACTACCGATCTATTCAATAAGCACATACCAGGGAAGGAATTCAACAGCTCGGAACAAGACTTGAAGTCCGCGACCCAAGAGCGTTCAAACTTCGTCAGCCCTTCGCGGTATTCGCTTGAGCAGGTCCCAACCGCATCACTGAGATACCACAATTTCTAAAGAGCGCACCTCTGTTTCCTCAAATAAGGACCTCCTCAAAACATATGAACAGCGGTAGCATTGAATAATCGTAGGTGATATTAAGGCGTCATCACAATGGGGCGAAAGGAACCAAACAACGGCACCGTTAACCGTAATAATTCCTAAGTCGGTTGATTATTATTCTTATCAATTCGTTCCTGCATGAAAATTAATGATAACAGAAAAATAAAGGTAACTTTAAGGCATGCAAGTTTTTTGCTAAGGTGTCGTTATTTCAAATGTTGAGCCACTTCTCGCTTACAACTCGAATAATGCGGTAGCCGAATGCTCGATTATGAACGATAAGGGAAAAAAGATACGCTGTTATTGCACTACTAAACCACCGGCGTATAAATCCACTTGAATTTAGAGCGTGGTTCAATTAAGAGGATGCCAAAACTCAAACGTAATCCTTGGATAGGCTAGAGAGTTAAACGATTAAACCAGGTCATACGTTTTTTGACTACCTTAAAGTGTCCAGTTTTAGGGATGGATAAGACCCAGTAGGCGATGGCCTAGCATGTATCATACATGGGTTAAGTCGCTCTGTCATCAGTATATCGCTGTGCTAATGTACAGGGATATCAACGAGACTGCCGTTTCCCACCGGGACGATGTGTGCGATCGGGTAATTTAACGGTGACTAAGAACAATAGCACTTCTGCCACGTATTTGGCTGTCGAGAATCTCTACACTGTCGCGCAAATAGATCTATCTTCGGTAGATCTATCTAAGCTACAATATAGTGAATTACATTGGAACATTAGTATTGTAGATGCTGCTGCGTTATTAAAATATTATTGAGATAGCCCAGGCATAATATCACTTTCGCAGGTGATTTTATGACAGGATACCTTTTTTTTCTGTTTTTGTTTATAATTCTCTCATGTCGCTTACGACTTTTTCGGCCCCTCATTGGTCGGTTACCGATAAGCTTGGGTTCACCGTCATCATTTGATATTAGCTTGTCTATGTTGAAACGTGGGGATGCCCTTTGTGGCTTTAACTTGGGATAGTAGGTATCTGTTTGCTATAAATTGTAGTTTATCGTTTTCTACAACGTTTCGCCAGATTACTGCAGTTGTGGTTCTGCACTACTGTTACGTTTAATAAGCGAAGTGTGTACGATTGCGTTATGCTTCTTTGTGTGATTTGTCGCTAATATTGTGGCGTAAGGAGGATATTGAAAGCAAAAATAGTGGAAAGGTTCGTTGCAGGGTGGGTCAGGTGATAACAGCGAAAATTTCAAGAGGACTGATTACGAATGTAGCTAAATAAATCATGACAGGGCATGGACGACTTATGTTCGACCTGACACAAATACCCAGCGGAAACGAATTTTTAGAGACTATCAGCTTCGTATCGGTAAGTCACCTGATGGAGCCGTCAGATCTTGGAATGAGGAAGCTAAGGATCGCATTGTATACACTTGTTGCCTTTTGTAACCTTAAGGGGCCTTAAGGTGGAGACCCTCTTCGCTATTGAGCAACGGATCCTCGCGATGTCAGAATATAAACAAAACTGGCTCGTGATGCGGCGGTTTGTAAATGACACTCTTAAAAGAAAGGAATCCAGATGCCTAGTGGATATATCGAACGTAGTGCTATGAGCTCTCTGTTCTATACTCTATCCCTTCGCCTATTGCTTTCTTCCTTTCTTTTCCTTTTCGCTTCCGGCAAAAGTGAGAACAAATGCAGACCTAACCTTGGCTTTTCCGGTCGTCTATATTTTCTGCCGGCAAACACTTACACATGTACATATATTTCTGTAGAGGAGAGCTGTTTGTTTGTGGGTTTGGGTTATCACGAAAGCTATGCTTCAGGGCGTAGGCCTGGAGTCCCACACACATTACCTGACCAAATTAGGTGCCGTGTGCACAAGAAAGCTGCCACCACTTAACAGAAAATCTATTCAATGAAGACACTGCAACTTTCTATTGTGACCAGGCAGACCTTCTTTTCCTAAATTAAAATACCTCACTGATTTACTTGTCATCACCTCGGGAAATTATATGGCTTAATAGTGCTTTAGAACATTAACCTGCTCGCTAGGTTTCACGCGCGTCACATCGTTCCACTCAAATCTGTAATTCGTGGCTGATTCCATGCCAATACATCGTGCTTTTGACGTGGCGACGCGTAGTATCATAAATCAAGTATAATTTATCTATCTGGCGCATAATTTCGGAATTTTTGAAATTCCGTGGTATTAGTACTGTATGATCGTAGTACATCAGCCCTGGAGCAACTGGAAGTTCATCCCGTATCCCCAGTATGTACGAACTTCACAAGCGTTCTTTCTAGTGGTGCGTGCCCTGTTACTTCAGTCATAACATATATAAAACTACCGAACTACTTTGCATATTATCAGGGTGACTAGGTGTCTTCACGAGTAGCGGATACCTTTAGTCAGCTCTTGCTAACGAATGAGAAGTCTACGATCTTGCAGGAGTACACTTTCTAACCTAAAACTATCTGTCTATATTAAAATTGGTTTATTCTTGTCGAAGCAGGCTGGTGTTGGTGTCCTTACATGTTCCTCCCTGAGTTACTAAAAGCTCGTTGCTGCTGGAAAAGCTTGGGCAGGAAAACTGATACTGATGTCGCGTTAGGATGCATAATGACTCTGTAATTTAAGACAGGTTAAAAACAGATGAAAGCATATAGTTGATCCATTCTGCCAAGCTCATTATTCCTTTGACATTTTTAGGTAATGGCATCTCTGATATAGACCTTATCTTTCCACGATCTACCTTTATTCCCTCTATGCTAATGTTATGGCCCATAAACTTAACTTCCGATACTTTTAGACAAACTTTGGTATTGCTAAATTAGAGTTTTGCTTGACGAGCTCCTTCTGTGCTGCTTTTTTTTTGTCGCCATGCAATCATATCATTCGCAAGCACCGCGACATTTTTGAGGCTATCAGCAGCCTGAACCTGGCGGATCTGATAACCTAGCGCAGAAACTATCCTTGGGGGGGGGGGGGGGGGAGATCTACAGTATTAATGACGACCTGTGGGCAACCGGAATATTGTGTGGTCCTTACTGTCCGCATTTTAAAACTAATTAATCTTTGGCTTCAGGTACCAAGAACGCTTTTGCTTTCCTGAGACGATACAGGGTATCATTAGAAATGAGTATTGGATATCTAAATTTTTAGACAACTTCATGCATACAGGTCTAAAACAATTCGCAACTTACATTCGGGGCGGTGAACGGTTACGAGGTTGAAGACCTATTTCGACGGATAATTTATCCTCTCAATGGCTCATTGACGTCTTAGATCATTGATATGATTTGCTATAACCTCTATGAATGGGCTCGGAGTGGCTTCTATGGAGGCCTTGTACGGTTCTTGATATAGATTTTCAGTGGCGAAGGTGTCATCGTAGGCATCTACGAGTGTGTCAAATCGATATTTGTTTCAATTCACCATTCCATTTACGTTCTCTACCTCGCCGGATACCTGAAATAACTTTAGTTCGACACATGTGTAACCTATGTGAGATTGCTCCATGTAACGCTTCAACCTCTTGCATGCCTTCAGGGCCATGACATCGTACGTTGTTCTTGCGTAGAGAAGGGCTGCTTTGCATTGGTGTCCGACCAAAGCAAGTTGACATGCAGCTTTTGTTCCATCATTCGGCTTATCGTTTTAGTCCGGAAGAGATCGTTTTTTGAGTAACTTTTAGTGCTCTTCCGACTGGCCTTCCTGTACCACCCTGACGTCGTGTTTTGGTTCTTTTCTTAACCTGGCCATGCAACTAAAGTGATTTCTCTTATTGCATAGATTACAATCTGGTTTATGCCGCACATTTTCTTACCGCATGCTTACATCCGCAATTCTTGCGTTGCTCCTTAACCTTAGATTTGCGTGTACATTTCGCCTGGCGTTGTCCTTCTGCCATGTGCATGGCTACCACATGTTCAGCCCGCTCATTGCTTCTCATGGTATCATGTTGATCGGTCAGCGGAGGTGCTATTTCATCGCCCTCACACGTTTCCAAGATTCGAAGGACTATGGTCAGGTCTTTACAATCAGCTCCTCTGCTGAACGCTTCCCTGGCCATATTGAAACGTGTGCCTAACACCAGTTTAGATCCTGGAATCATGATGTCGTGATTCTCATAGGTACCCTTTTTAGCTGCTTCATCTGATAAAACAATTTTAGCGTAACAAGTGCCTGTAAAAAAGTACATCTTTATGGCGTTTGTATCACTGCGATACGTTTGAGAAGCGTACAGGATTCTTCTCCAGTATGGTGGGCCCTGTCATGCGTCTGTTATCGTCGTGCCAAGGGTATTCAACAAAATCGGTTAGCGTTTTCGAATATGGATCTAACGTATGCGAGCTGCAAATGAGGACTGAGTTCGTATGTGTCGTTGGATCCAGCGTGATCTATCGATGCCTCTAACAAATCATTTAATATCGTGATCAGTCGCGCTCGTTGGTTCCACGTTTGTGGAATTGTGTGCCTCTATGACTGCGTCAATTTCGATTGGTTTCGGTCACTAAACGCTCCCCTGCGTCGCTTCGACTTTTTTCTCGTAACTTGTCAAAATGTTCAATGAGTTTTCTAAAAATCACTTACGTTAATGTCTCCATTTTCGGTTACTAACTCATGTAACGCCGTCGCGCAACTTCTGGTAAACATCAGGGCTATTGATTTTTTCCTAGAGGTTTTCTCGTTCCTCGTCATCATGTACGCTCTATAACGATCACAGCAGAATTAAATGATCGTAAGATGGATAAGCTACATTAGCACGTGCAGATAGTGCATGATAGTTGAAATTGAAAATTCACCTGCTTGTAGCGTTGATGAGGAAAACGAAGTGTTATAGAACTTCGAAATATAACAGAAGTTTACGACTGTTCTACGGCTAGATATTATTGGACCGGAGTGTTACTGAAAAAGGGTCAAACTTATTTTCGTCTTTAGCGACAGCGTTGGCTTGCTTGTTTTGCCATTCATCGTCTATGAGATACGTATTGCAAGCTATGCTTTGGTGGCATCATCATTCTCTGTCACTGGTTAATCACAGATGATTGACCAGTAGCGAGATATTTTTGCCAATGCCGTTTGGTCTATGGTACCATTGTACGAAGCTTCCGACTGACAAATGATGTTTCGGTATACACGGCAGCGTTGCCGTAACGGTAAAAGCGTCCTTTTTTTGCGTGACGTATTTGGTCTGAATGCTGGAAATTAATCTGAATTGCATAACGGTTGCATTGTCCGGCCGGAATAGTCTGTCACCCAGAATGATTCGAGCGTCTCTTGAAATGTCTAATGAATAACGGCGTTACAATATTCGACGGATTCGAAGAATCAGCGTGATCTGAGGAAGTAAACGGCTCACTGAGCACCGTCGTATTACAGGGCAAATGGTTCGTTCTCGTAAACGAGAATTATTTTCAAATATGATAAAAACAAACGGTAACAGAAAACGCTAAGCCGAGGGAAAATTAGTATAGCCAACAGTGGCCGGCCCCAGTAAAATAGCAGCATTGTTAGCTTAACTCTGATTTAGGACGCTGTCTAGTTGGCAAAATCGAGCGAAGTAAACTTTCGACTACTCAATACAGCTTAGGCTAAAACTTCACCCCAAAGCCGTGAGAATTAACTTTTTTTTTTATATTAAAATAGGCGAAACGGTAATTATCGCTACTAGGCGGGGTAAACAGTTTCTAGATTGGTGTGAGAAATTGTGCCGCTGAAGTATTCTTACTAACCTTGACACCCTCTCTTGAACCCACCTGTATAGAGGGTTCATGTTTTTTGGGTCGCTCTGTGTGGTCTTGACTGGCCTTTGCTAATGACAGCGTAGAGAGCTGTGCTGATAACATATGCATGGCATCACCTTGCTCCCCGGCCCTGCAGTGCACGCAGTATGAAAACTAAAATTTTCCCGACCCCTTCTAGGTACGTCTGAAGATTTTCATGCCCAGTGAGAAGCTCGGTTGGAAAGCAAATGATTTTTACGTCCGTGTCCATCCATCGACTCATTGATATTCAGGGTGATGTTCTATGAAGCAGCTCGAAGGTTTCTTGTAGGAATGGCATTCAATTATGCCTGGCGCGTGACTGCATCCGTGCTCAGCGTTTCGTATGCCGTTCCGTACGCTTGTATTATTCTAAACGAAAAAATTCTTCTCCTTTAAATAATAACTCACAGTAATTGCTGGTCTTCCTTTCCCGAATGCTATGAATATTGGCTAGTTAGCTTTAGAATAACATTTATAATCTTCTAGCTGAGGTTTATAACATGCCGAAGATTAGATCAGCGGTGTGTAATATAAAATACTAATATACTAAAAATAGTAGCAACAAAGCAAAGGGTGTAGCTGGCATAATTGTGCAACTATGAGTGAAGAAGGCTAGTAGTGATCACTAGAAACGTGACATATTTTAGAGAGTCTAGTTGACTGGACTGGTAGTTAAAAACGAATTTATATGAGAGTAAAAAAAACTGAAATTACAAATCGTTTGGGGTGTCTTGTTATTGGCTTCGTTTTGTAGCGTTTTATAAGCTTAATTAGATTTACTTAGTTAAATCACTGCGTAGCAGCGTAAACCGCGACGCTATCTATGTATACTACCCCACTTATTGGCATATATCACCATCAATACTAAGGGAAAATTGCTACCAGTTTCCGGAAGTAGTTACGGAACGAGTCAATAATATACTACTAATTCGCTTATATATCTCCCTATCTATCTAACAGGGACAGTAAGGAATTTGTTTCATAAATTACAAAAGTATATTCTCTTTTTACTGCGATGTACCTACGTAATGTTTGTCCTATAAAATATTCGAAATATCTCATCGGTTTAACTGTTTCCATCATTTAGTACGGTGAAAATGCCGATGACGAGGACGGTAATGCGTTTTGTTGGATCGACGAGTTGGATCATTCGTCATCGTTCTGCCCATATTTCTGCGTCGTATCTGATTATTTATACTCGTCCCGATTCAGGAATGGTGAAGATGAGATCAGGATTCGGGAGGCGCTGTCCAGCAATTTTCAACGTAACCATCGATAATAAGTATCGTAATTTTTTATACGATGTAATTATGATACGCTGTCGCATATCGACGGTATGCTAGACTTAATATCAGTATGGCAATTGGGCGATCGATACAGGTTCCTTGCAGCGTTTATACCGCCTTGTTAGCTGATTTTGCATAGCTGTGATATTGGCCTAAGTTGATTTTCAGTGATCGCTTAGCAGAACGGCACGTAGATCTTTCCGTCGGAACGTCACAACGAGATGTCGCTTGTGCCAATAACGAACAACCGTTCAGACACGACGATAGATGATATCACGCCTTCGAAACGAGCGGAACGATTAACAGACACGAGTTACCGTTTTGCGTTGGAACGTCCGCATTCACTTTAAGACTAGGACACTTACTTTTTCTATTGGGGTTTCTTATGGCCAAGTACCACCCCACGGAAGTCGCTGGTTGTTCTGTTCAGCTGCGCCTAACTTGCGTCAGTTACATTGATGTAGCCGCACACGTAACTTGACACGTTCGTATTTTCTGTCAAGTTTGTGTCCATTTGTTAGTACTCGAACTTGTGTCCACTTCAGTTTCTTGAGAACGTCTATACAACTGAGAATAGACGATCCCCACCCGAGACGTCGATAAATGTTCGTGTGTAATGAATCATTAACGTAAGTAGTGCTTCAGTGTGTAAGTGCTCATCCCATGCTCGTTCCCAGGCATCATTAATAAAGATAAAATTCCGACAGAAAAGTTTACCTGAAAATTGTGCATTATGATACTTGATCGAAAACATGGATGGGCCTCGATAGTTGTATAGATAAATTTGTCGTCTGCTACCCGGCTGGTGAATCGTGGCGATAGTTTTATAATTGGTGCCCAAATTTACCATCAAGTCAAATCTCTGTTGTTCCTAGGGACACTTCAGAAATAACGTCAAACACTTGCAGCGGTAAATTTCTGGTCGAAATACTGAAAAGCTCAACTGGACGTATGTGGCTGTGAACTTTTCGTTTGCTTGCAAAGTTACAGTTACGTTTTTTAACTCTACGGGATAACCCTAGTCAGTTCGAAATAGAGTGGCCACGGCCACTCTATTTCGGCCAAATCCACGTTGCTACTACGTGTGTCAAAGATGACCAGCTTGTGCCATAGATGAGCTGGCAAACTAAAAACAATTATTTGCTATATCAGTTATGCAGCCGAACCCATTAAACGTTTTGTGGACATAAAGGAAGCTGCTAGTAACGTTAAGTAGACAATACGGTTCAAAAGACCGGCGTTTACATTCAATGCCTCTCGTATCATGTGATTGAATATGAGAATGAGTAACATTAGCTTTCAGTAACTAAACATTTTGAAAACATCAGCGAGGTGTGCGCGTAGCTACAGGTCCGGCAAGGAAAGCAAAAAGAAGTTCTTGAAGTTCCGAAGAACTGTCTTCTCGACTTCGCCCCTCTAACTAATGCTAAAGGCCAACCCATACTGAAGTAGCCCCTTGTACAATCACGGTAGAATTTAGAAGGAAGTAAGTTAGAGGGTGACTAGTTAATGTTTTGCAATATGTTTCAAATATGGTTTTTGGTTTAGGTTTACAACGACATTAGAGTTTTTCACTTGTCTTATTCTCGTTGCCCCAGAGCGTTGAGGGCGAACTAAAAGATCGCATATAAGCGTAGATTTTATCAACATTAGCCGGCAACCTTTGTGTCTTAAATGAACTTAAGGGAAATTTCCCAAAGTGTTTCCCAATAGGTCCAGTAATTCTATTTAATTACATCAAATTCGATCAACCGCCCAAATACGGCGATGGGTTTATAGAACATGATATAAGGGTCAAATGGTCAGCTATCTGCTGAGCCGTACTGAAGCTCTAAACGAAATGTTGTTCTGATTCTGTAGACAACCTAAACAGCAGCAGCCGACGTGATCGATGACGACGTGAAGAGAACGATACCGCAAACGCTTTATCTACGCACCAAAGCCAAAGTGTAGTTCCGAACGCCCCAATCTAATTCTATAGGTGTCAGCTGCACCTATGTACGGACTACCCTCTGGACAGAGGGGATCAGAGAAGAACGAACGGTCGCTGCGTTATGTTCCGCTAATGATACAAAAATACTATATAATGAATGTAATTTTTTTTTCGTATGCCAACGGTAAGGCGGCAAACAATTAATATTGGCAAAAAATAACTTACCCTGTTTAAAATCTAGCTGATGCATACGCAGCGATTTTTGGCTCATGATGCCATTGTAAAACTCTTGTACGTTAATCGGACAATCTCGATTAGGTGAACCCAACAATAGTTTATTAACAATTAACAATTAGTTTTAGCACACCTAAAGCTATTTCTCTAAGGAAATAGTCCTTCCTTATGATTTTTTTATATGTTATACTGAAGTCTAATACTGAGCGCATTTGCGAAGGATGATTAAACGTCGAAAACCTTATAAATCCTTTCTAACAGTGCCATATAAATTTTATGAAATTTTCGTAGAAAAATTCGTAAACACTGCAGCAAGGTAATGGCATCCACAATATAATAACCGCAATAAATAAGTCTAGGTCAACAACTGCTTACTCTCGACAATTCGCTCGGCAATTTGCCCCTAATTTCACTATAAATAGTCAAGTATTGTATTTTGTTTGGCTTCGAAGCAGTTCCACATGGATCTTCTATATATCTTATACATAGAGTCTTCTTATGTGCCGGCGTCAATCAGACGGTTACTGCTGCCGGTGAGAGCTCTTCTCAATGAGAGGGGATACATTTATTCAATGCTGTCATCATTCTATAATGAATAAACATTACTCGCCGAGCTGTCTGTCGATTCTATATCCCATACCGTATTTCTATATAGTCATTTTCTACTGTAAATAAATCTCTTTTTCTTCGAAACCCCAAGTAAGTGGCAAACAAATGATAGTCGTGAAACTGCAGCGATCGCATGCTACAAATCTGGTCTGGTGGCAATCCCTTGATCATCTCAACTTATTGGCATGGACCAGTCGTTTCTGTTAACCAAAACAGTCTGTTGCCTCCGTAGCAGTACTCACCACACTCACCCCATTCACCCTTCGCCCCATGATGCTTGCGCCACCCTCACCCAAAGATGAGTCGCGCATCTTCCTCCCTATAAGAGCGCATCTTCACGTCGCGTCGATATCCCCCGACAGGAACGCGACGCAAAGCAGGGTCGGTGAAGTTTGGCCATAGGCCGATACCGAGAACGTTTCGATTACATAGCCATACAACTATTCCAGACTATCCTAGAGCAGTGCTTTATAGGAACCAATAATAGGCTAACAGAAAAAAAAGAAGCCAACAGAATAGTGATTGAAAATGAAGTGGTTGGGTGTCGTTCTGCTTGGAACGGTTCTTGTTGTCGCGCAGAACAGGACGGATAATAGGAAAAATCAAAGGCCTGATGTGAACAGGTATGTTACCTATTATATTGTTGCTACGATTTCTACAGCTTTGCAGTTCTGCAGAAGAAGCTACAGTTGACTAGTGCTAACATAAGCAAATTATAATAGCTATTAGAATGGTTACCTAACAATGTAATAAACTATACGAGGTAATTTTTCCTATCTAGGATTTTCTATAGATTTATTTTTCCTCTAACGAACGGGTTAGTGTTAAGGTTTCTGCGAAATCGCAGACATTTCATATGGGACCTCGAGCTACTATAACAAATGCCCGCAGGAAGAATATTCTCTAAGTGTAAGAGTTTTGATAGAAAAAAAAACTCATCAGTATTATGGGGCTTAACAGTAACGGTTACAGAGAAATAGCTATAATTCGTATGTTACACTATAGGAATCTTTAATGTTTAACTAATCGAGTTTGTACAAAAGATGTATGTTCAAAAGAAAAACGTATCCGATTTAATGGTGCTGTGTTATTTTGTTTATTGTTTTTTTTTTTTAAATCTGTTTTAAACTATTTTGCTAGTAGGAAGGGAGAAAATGTCTGTATACGCCTTTTCAGTGTGCAAATTAAGAGCCAGTACGAGCTAGCTCATAGTGTGTCGATATTAGATTTTCTGTAGGACATGGCTGAATTTGAAAACGTTTTGATAAACGTATAATTTTTGAACCTAAATATATAATCAGTCTGCAAAGGAAAGTAAAGTTAATTAACGCTAGGTTAGAAACAGCTTCCTTCATAATGAATAGCTGTCCATCACAGTCGCGAAGCTCTACCAGTATCAACGCAAGATTGTAGGCGTTAGCGATACCAAGCCAGCCATAACCTTTATCTTCAGAAACATTGTTGAAAAATCATAATCAAACACAAGATTTCTATTGATGATCTATTGAGCGAGTTTCTATAAACCACAATATTTTAAGAAAGCAAGTTGAGATATCAAATATGACAGAGTTAATCTTCTGATCGCTGGGACTTCACCAGAAGCTTATTCGCTCGATATGTTTTCTAAAATTTCCAATAGTTCTGAAAGCTGTGGGGGGGCTGTTCAAGGTTCGGTAATGGCTTGAGATGTACAAAGATCACTACAAGTATGTACCCTGTGACTCTTAAAGGGTACATTATTTATGGGATGCGATAAACTTATACTTCAATGTCCTAGTTGAATTCTAATTAATATTTTGTAATCCCTTGATATAATGAACTTGGCGATTGTCTAGTGATATCAGATTTATTTCTATTCGTTTTGGCCTTTAAATGGGACAGGGTCTCTTGAACGACTTTGAAATTAGGGAAATTGAATACTTGTTTAATCTTTAGTAGTGTCCTGGTAGACAGCGCTATCTCCTTATGCGAGTAAACTAAAAAAGACCGCTTTATACTTAAACACGTTCAAGTCCGAAACTCCAAAAGGTCGCAAAACTGAGATTATGAAGTAGGTCTGAGGGATACTCAAGAGACACGAGTAGTAAGTACATCCTGTTTATAATAGGTCTTGATTTGTCTAAAAAAAAAATCGAGACTTGCTGGTTTTGTGCTACTTGCTGCAAATGGAATTAAATCTAAATAAGTTTTTGAGTGGAAAGCTTTATAAAATGAAAATGAATACAATTATCCAGTTTATATTATATATTATATTATACCAGGATATTATATTCAATATATCCCATAGAATCCCGTATTTTAGACATAGCAGAACGATCATTCGAAGATTCTTGTAGACGATATTCCCATATTTAGATGGTGAGGTCGCAGGGCTCTGGAATAAGATGCATTGGAAGAGAAAGCAACGGATAACACGCCGGACTTTTGATTGTTTATTTCTTGTTGTTATATACAACTGGTAAATTATTCATCGGCTTGAGTAATATTGTTATTATTTTCTGTAGTGCGGCTGAAGCTCCTTTAGTAAATTTCAGATGGCTTCGTTCTACATTTGTACAGACAGCACGTAAGTGAGTCAGCGTCCAATTAGGCATAGCTCTTAATTCATGTAGCTCAGGTACAAAGGATCCTTCTTGAAAACCTGTAAAAGACTACCCTACTATCTTTACTATGTCACATGACGAAGTGACGCTTTTTTTTTTTACTGTCATATTATAGTAGATCTGTACGAAAAAACGTCGGCATCACTGATATGGTGATTACGCTGAGTTTATAAGGGGTGTTTAGATAAAACGCGATAAACCTACCTTCACCAAGACGACGTCGATGAAAACAAGTGTGCTGAGAAACGAGGGAATAGAGTTCGTCCTAATTCATCGTACAACACAAATACATTTATAAATATTCATTTTAATTGGAAAATTATGTTTAACAACTCCAGCTCAGATTTAGAAAGGTCATAGTGCTCATTCACAGTGCGTGTGACACACCGCACGATTAGTTAACCCCAGTGAGAATTTATGACGAGTTAATTCAGATATGTGTTCATTAAAAACGTAACAACGTTTTTCTCTGGCACTGTGTTTGCATCCTTGGGCCCAGGCTGCACCCTTTAAAAGTTCCATATCTAGCTTAATAATAGAAACATACGAACTTCATTGTAAAGTACGTCAGATGCGTGTATAGTTCAAACCCGGTGAAGTTATCCACCACGTAAATGTGTAGGCGACGCTTGCGTACATTGCAAAAACTCAGCGTACTGCTCATAAATGAGCAATTGTGTTGTTTCTAGTTTATCTTCAACCCAGCACAGTTGTCTATGACAAATGTATATTACATGGTATATTGCGGGTGGCAGAATTTTCCCAATAAAATCTATATAATGAATTTTTCTTATTGGAAGAGACACATTGTGTATATTTTGTTAGAATATATAATAGAATTATTTGTCCATTTCTAATTGACAACGTGTAATCATCAACTGCCTGCAGTCACTGTGTCTGATCAGCGGGGTAATATGCAGGTTATAAGCAAAAACGGGAAAATGCTCAAAAAAAATGTGTTACTACATTCCAAAAATAAACATTTCAAAAAATGTATAAACGTCTGAACAATCACAACCAGGCTTTTTACATTTGGCGAGCTTTTTCTTAATTTGTATTACCACCACCTTGATTATTTCTATTTCCAGGCTTCGTCATTCTCCCTAGGTCTTTTTGTCATTTTTTTTTGGCTGCCAGTTCCGGTCGATGATTGGTGCCGAAAATCGGGACTGTTGTTTATTAGGTTACGTCATTCAACTTCAAACACGAGGGTCCTGCAGTCAGCAGCTGCGAGTATAAACTGAAAGTCGTCGAGCAAACGCCATTATCAGCAAAAGCCAAGCCCCGGCCAACGCTTGAAGCACACGCGGGGCGTTGCGCGAAGTTGATCGCTCTTTTCCAGAAAGCCCATCTCGGTAAAACGTAACTATGATTGGCCCTTCCAGATCGCCACGGAGAGGAATCGCGGACGGTCGACAGAAAAGCCGAATCGGGCAGGCAATAGCAGCTCTTCAATTCATTTTCGACCTTTTCTCGGTCTTTTTATGCGATTCGCTTTCGCCGTCGTTGGCCAGAATTTGAGTGGCGTTGTTGCTGTTGAAACTGGTGTCGTTCCACCAACTGTCAATCTAGAGCACACAATTTTTTCGCGCATGGATGCGGGCCGGACGTCGGGAACCCGCATCGATATACATAATCATACGTTACTTTGTTATGTAACGTTGTATGGGTACATGCCGCACCATGTACCCATATAACGTTGCACAGCTGAGTCCTCTCTGAACGCCATCACGAAACCGTTTCCATCGTCTAGTGGACCTTTGGATCGTTTTGATGCGTTCTGGCTTTCAATCTTTCCCATTGAAGCTTTGTAATAAAGCAACAGAAACTAAAGTGGAGATAGTAAGAAGCGAATTCGATCAGCGATTTTTATAGGTCATTGATGTTGGCAAGCATAGAAAATGAGCTTTGGAGGTGTAGTCTGATACAATTGCCTTAACCAGACCGGAGATTTAAACTGCGCTTCGTTCTGCGCTTTGCAACATATTTATCTATGGGAAACAAACATCCGTTCCATAAACATTCAGACGGTTGTTGCCGGTATCATTAGTTGACACGATCCGATGTCGAGAGTCAAAGTCTTCACTCGCTTTGGATGAGTGGCGGAAAGCGGAAAAATCGTTCTGAGGTTGTGAGTATGAAAGTTACCTGGGCATATCATATTCTGACACGCCTAAACCGCTTTTGCGTCAATGTGACTTGAAGCCCCGATAACCCGTGACAATTGTGGTGTCCACCGACCACCTAGAAAAATAGTTAAAAGTAATCGTTTTGTTAAAGGCTGGAACCATTTACGTGAGCGCTTAGCTACGCCAGCTAAGTCACAGCAGTATCCGTTAGGCGTGGTAACTATATCCGTTTCGGAAAAAGGTAACGCTTGGAATTCTGTCCATCCACATGGTAAGCACGTAGTTTTCCACGTCTAACTTTTGTCAAATTTTTCATAATACGATATAAAAAGCTGGGCTGCCTCTAGAATCGTATCGCTAAATATGGGCAAATCCTGCAGAAAACTGCAGAAGAGGTCTCTGTAAGTAGAATATTGGCGAATAGACACTTCGTTCCTGCAGATGTACAGATTAATCCTTTTATTACCATATGTTTACTATAAAAATGCTTTCCGCTTAAGACGATGTTTTCTTTTGAGAAGATACAGAGTCCCGTGCAGAGTCAATCGCTTAGCAGTCTTAGCCGAAGCATCTCTGAAGTCTCTTTTCTTGCTACAAGCCGGTTATTCGATCCCCATAAACCTATCTAAATAAAGAAATTTCAAGCGAAATTGATGACCCAAGGCCATATTTTTATGAAACGGATGAAGAGGATGCGCTTGCAGAGTTCAGCCTTAATAACGTGTACAGCTAATGCTTGCCGCGTATGTAGTGTTTTCATTGCACGTAGACGACGACATGCAAGCGGACCGTTGTGCGTTTACTAACAACACTACCTTCCTTCGGCTAAATCGGACGGATATATGACGCACTTAGATCATGGCGTACGACGTAAGCTGAGAATAAGTAGTTTGCTAGCAGCCCGAACTCGGTATCGTTTACCTACTACAGTGGTACTTAATCCGATCCTGGGAACTTTAGAACTGTCGCACGTATAAAATTTTTAGTATAAAATAAGCAGTAGAATCTCTATAACGATTAGCACTTTCCAACGAGTGTGTAGAGCCATCTATCGGCTGTTTAAATCTGGTTCCGCTAGTTCTAGTTGTTGATATATAAACTTTAGTTCTTTTGGCTATTTCATTTCGGTTAGGATTTTTATCTAACATTTCGATAACAGCATTGTTTTTTCTGCTTAAAAGTTGGGTAGGATGAGACTTGAATTGGATAAGTTCAGAAATGACACGGACAACTTCCGCCCGTGCAATACTTATTTACCCATACCATATATATTTATATAAATTCGCAGCGAAGAGAAAAAGGCCATATCTGATTCGATGCGAAATGACACTTATCGTGCGCAGTATAGGACACGCATACACGCGTGACTTCAATTATCTCGTCAAACTGGTAATTGCTCCAAACGCCGTCTAAGGCCAATTATTCTCTATTAGTACAAGTCGTAAGGTGGTGTCGTAAGACGACGGGTAGGTCTGTCTAACCTATTACGCAGCACTACAAAAGGCCGAGATGTTTTGCTCGAAACAAAGCACCTTTAGTTTACGTAATACCAGCAAAGGGCTAGATTTCGTAAATGTATCTTTTCGCTGGCCATATCTTGGTCTAGGGAATACAACCTTTTGCAATGGGACAAGGAATCCAATATGCAACTTCGGCCAGATGACCGGTCATGAGGGACGTAATTCGGTTGCATATGTTGACGTTTGAGTTTCTGTTTTTCTGCGCAGGTGACGTCCATCAAGTCGACGAATGCCGGACTTTTTCCCTATTATATACAAGTTGTTTTTGGAAAAAATTTTTTTTGAATAAAGATGGACCTTAACAAAGCGGAAGATAAGAGTATACCTACGGTAAATAATTTAGAACGCCAACTGAGATTCGGCATTGGAACATCGTGTACGTAAAATTAATCATTATATCTTCCACAGTTGCGTTAGTTCTGATCGAAAATTCAAATGGCAATATCTTCTTGATATTGGCAATATCTTCTTGGTATCTTCTTTTTCGTTCATATGTGCAGTTTTTCGTCGACACGTTTAGGCATATTCTTTGTGTTTTTGTCCGGTATATGAGAATGCTTAGTGATTAAAATTTGCGTGCATTTTACAGGCTATCGTACCCAATATCGTGTGTAATTTATTTGAGACCTTGACGTGGGGCCTGACTGGTTCTAGCGATAAACACCGAACAGACCTGTGGTATATAAAAAAAATTATGCATTCTTTGAAATGAAGGCTGAAGCAGTATATTTGTTGCTGCACTTCGTAAGCGGAACAATTACTATTAGAATTGCCTATGTCGTTACGATGGGGCTGACGGGTGCCTACTTCATAGCTAATGATATCCAAAGTCGTGCGGTTCTTTCGCTTTACTCGAAGTAAATAGATTTTCGACCAAAGCCACCGTTGAACGAATGCTTTAAGCAATTGCCAAATAGCATCTGCGAAGGTAAAAAGAGAAAAAGAAATAAACCATCTTATAACATCGAGTTTTACTATACAGATGGATTGAAGACAGATTTCTGCCGTAACCGCTGTTATTTATTAAATGAATTACTGTATTACGTGCAAAATGGCTGCAACTGAATGGGTTTACGACACTTTTTCCATATCTATTCACGCGTGCCTATAGCGGATGTATGAACCTGTCAACTAGCGATTGTCGGGCCTAGGCGGTATTTGGCCAACTCGAATTGACTAGAAAGCGTATCCCACCCCGAACCCCTCTACCTAGAGCCACCAATAAAATTGCTTTTTCAAATATAACTCCCACAAATGATCTGATTTCTGAGAAACCTAACGTTTATTTTCAGACTCTGGTATTGTGACTTGCTGACTGTTTTGAATAACTATACCAATGTGCACCAACAGTTGCAATTATCTCCAATTTGGACCTACAAAAAACGTATATAGTCGTATCTGTGCTCAGAGTAACCTTTCTTGGTGAACTTGCTGATACATAAATGAACGCAAATTATGAGCCTTAACTTCTGACTAATCGCAATTTTTGGCTCGGCTCTAATAGCATAATTTTGGCAAAAAACAAAAAAAAAAAAAAAAATTACCATCATTTTCGCAAGCAAGCAGCGCATCGTCCCCGTTGTTGGTAGGATAGCCTTTCTTCTGAAGCGTCTCTTCGCAATCTTTACTGCTTTATGTAGCAAGGCAAGCTGGCGTGTTATCATTCTTAACCATTTAGTTGCAGCCAGATGGTCTGTACTTATACTTTAACATATATTTTTCCTTTTTTACATCGGTACAATGGCCATTATATTTCACTAATCTCTTCTGTACCTCTTCGTACGCGCCAAATTATATTGTTGAGTGTAGTTACCCAACTATCGCTTCGTTGACGCTATGGTTGCTGCCCTCCAATTGCAGTGACGCACCACCGCTGTTTTTGTTGTTGTGGTTGTATTCGTACAAAAAACACTGAAGATGATTAGGATTTACGTTTTCCTCCTGTATGGGTCATTGGCAGGCGCTTCGCGCTCGCCCACTGACAGTCTCAATGTTGCTCACCGACGAAAGCTGTGATCGTGTAAAACATCTCCGCTCTTTGCCTATTTGTGAACGGAAGTCAGGATCTATTGCGTTATGAAACGTTGATTCTATTCGAAGGTCGCTTAAAAACGACAGTGAGTGGTTCATTTGTTACGCTGTTATTCGCGACGATGGCATATAGAAAATTTTTGGCAAATTTCCACCCAGTAACGATATGCTGCTGCGCCAATACCTGTCTACGGAGCTGGTTGAATGGTGCTGCTGCTGCTGTTCGAGATAGTCAACTCAGCCCCTGTCATCTGGCCTGACGCACACACAAACGAGTACACGATCCATTAAACGAGTCAACAATCGCGAAAATCACTAATAAGCAAAATTGGTACGAGTAAGAAAACATTCGTTTGAAAGCCAATCTATACCCTTCTGATTAGAGTTTTGCCCACAGGCCAAGCTGGCTCTGAAGCTCTAGCATTTCACGGTTGAGGAATTCGAGGAAGGCCGTTATACTCCTTGGTTAATTTCTACTTTCACGGCTTCATGGATAACATTGATGTTATCACACAGAAGAGGTATGGCGTAAAACTACTAAGTGATACTCAGTTAATTTGAGAAACAATTTACGAGCGGATCGGACTGTCGAGCGGGCACTACGAAACTATACTTAGGGTAAAAATATTTTACTATAACTAAAACGACTGTAGCAACCCTCATAACTGCGAGAATCCGCGTCAAGCCCTTAAAATAGGTATGGGGAAACAAAGGGAATTTTATAGATCTTACAAACAAAAGCCTATTCGCACCAGTGCTCTACTAGGGAAGGAAAAATAACGATACCTCGCTAACCGAAAGTTAGTCATACGCTTTTCCCTAACTTAGCTATGATTCTCCAATTTTCAACAAATATGAAAAGGCTCAAAAATGTTTGTTATGTTACGATCATCGATTGTCTACGCGAAAAGGAGCGTGTCATAGAACTTCGAGCCGAATTACATAGGAGATTTGCCGAAAGGTAGCAAAAAAATTGTTAATTACGTGTTATTAATCTCTTGTTTTTTTGTTTACAGAAATCGTCGTCAAACGCCTTTTGATTCTTTTTTCAATCGCGTTGGTGTACCAAATCGAGGTGATTTAACCCCTTTTAGCGTCGATGGAATGTTCGCTGTTGCTCCCTACGGAAATCAACAGCCTTGGTGGAAAGGGTAAGAAGGGCAAAATTATTATTATTATTATCATTGTGTTACCAATCAGTCAGTCAGTCAATCAATCAATGTGTTATAAGTTTATTCTTTAGAAATGGACAGAGGGAACGTTACCGAAATCGCTAACAGGGCCTATCTTCAAGCACCCTATTTGCCCCATATAGACTTCACTCGTACATGAATGTGTTGTATGTACAAAATTATTTCAATTCTATTATGCATCTATAATGTTAGTTGAGATAGTCGAAGGGTTTTTAAGCTATGAGCGGGCCCTTGATGCCTATAGATTTGTGCCAAGATACCTTCTATACCACAAAATACTTCACTTCACGCCGATAGAGAACAAGGTAAATATTACTAGTTTCGTAGTAGGTAACGTTCGAGTATTTTACTCATTCATTGTTTCTCACTAAGGAGGCGCTATTTTCTCGCCGTCGTCAGTCGAGAAAAGCTACTACCGATAGGAAAATGTTACTTTATCATAATATCATAGATAGATATAGTAACGATCTCGCGTCGAATATCTGCAAAGGGATTGATACAAGGTCAGACTAATCACAGATATAGACGAACGGTACATTCAAATGGTATCCTATCAGCCAACAGATGTCCAGTAATAAATCTCGAACACAGCCTTGTAGATTTGAGGTACTAATAGTATCGTTAATTTTTTAGTCAACCGTCCAGTCTCTATAACACCCTAAATATATCTTCAGTGTTTTAGTTCATTTATCTGCTATACGAAGCTGACTATTATAGTCAAATAGAAACATTTTTATTTACGGCCAAGGCCTCAATCTTGCTAGTAGAATTTTAGCGGTGTTTCAAGTTCCCACAACCTGTGGGCTGTTCTTAATTCATCGATAGGTCTTAATACAACCCAGATAGACCGCTCTATTCAACTAACCCAAATTACCCTGGCAAGCACAGTCATGTGACGTAAATTTCAAGAGATACTCAGGCATTGCAATGAACCAGTCAATGCCAACACTTATTCAGCTTGTTTGCTATGAGGATGCATTAGATTGCCGGAAAGTTCAGAAGGCCGTTACCGTCAGATAGAAGCATACGGATGTTGGAATCGCACAAATCAGAGTCATTTCAATGTGGGTCGGGTCGAGTTCCGTCATTTGGTGTTACAGGCACAAATGGACGCTCAATACTTCGCTACATGGCTGATCCTCGACAAAAGCCCAACGCGGGAAAAAGAACTGATCTTATTCATCTGATGCGATGCGTCTTTAGAAAACATCCATTTGGCGTCGGTCGTCTGCTTGTACGCCACCATCTTCTATTGCGCAAATCTACCCTCATACCCGAATCTGTCCCTAATTGCACCCTTGGCGGCACGCACATTGAGATAGCAGCTAAGGAGCTACAGTCCGCCTAGAGGAACAAAAGCTGCTTAGGACATTTCAGAAATTTTTCGATTCTGGTTAAAGCCGCAGAATCGGACCACTATAGCGTTGCGTACCGCAGACGAACGGTTAGTCACCGTACGCTTTTGGCACTGCTTCTGTCCGAAGAGCACTTTGTTTTATGAATGCTGCTGATAATGGTGATTCAAGCCAGACAAAAATGGGCCTAACGCTTCGACTTAGACCGAAAGCAACAAAACAACAACGAACGGCAACTGTCTATTACCACTGTCACAATTATTATTGTTTCTAAGGCGCTAGAGCCCTCTTCGGCATAGTGCTAGCCGATTCCAGCGAGCGATCTTTAAGTTAGCAGCGGACTCCTAAGTTGGTGGTCGGCCAGTTGCTTTTTTTGAGCGTCTCCGCTTTGGGTCGTAGCCAGCCTTGTATCGACTCGCGTATAATGAATGCTGCATCAGTGAAATCGGTCTGTCTCCACTGTCGTTGTTGCTCGTAGATTAAGGACGATGGCTCGAGAGAGGCCAGTTCTTCCTTTACCGTTTTCTATATATATATATATATGTGTGCATATACTCTCAGAGCGTAGGACACAGCATCTCAGAAGCTTCGTTAGATCCAGTGAAGTCATTATGATGTTTCGTTAAATTTGAGTCACAATTTTTATAGGTAAAGTTAGTTGTTATTTATTGAGGTTGATAAACCTTTGAACGTTAATAAGTAAAGTCTATTTAGAGTTGAAAGCAAACTTTACGAATAGTAAACACTGTAGCATTTCTCTACGCCTGTGACTCAGTCGTACGTACTAGAAATGATACTGAACTTTTTATGTGTGTTTTTTAGCTAAATTAAACTAGTTCAATCTGGGCGTGTCTCCTAGCGCTAAAATACAGCTCACACTTCGTGGCGTTCAGCTGCTTGGAGCATTTTAACCGTAATTGACCGTGATTAACCGTCATTTTCCTATATATATATTGCATGATACTATAACCTCGAAGGGGACCTAGTCTATTTGCGTCGTATGGAGATTGATTTCTATATACCGTAACACAACGAATCAGGCGGAATGGAATTCTTAATTCGCTTGTAAAATTCACGCAGAAAACGTTTTTTTTACATTTTGTAGCCATGGTTGTGATGAATCATTTTCAATATGACACGATCATTTTATATGCCCGGACGATCAGATAACTACCATGCTACTCTTCGACGAATAGGTATAGAGATAATTAAAGAAAAAAAAAATTTCACCTGCCTAGGACGAACGAGACACAATAGGAATACGTCTCTCAGCGATGGGCCACTCCTTTCACACTCGGAGCTAGTATATCTAAAGCTTAATTTTTGGGTTGCTTGAACAGTGTAAACTTCAAAGCAAATCTGGTATCATGCTATTTACTGGAAATATAGTGATTCACTTCATTTCAACGTGAAGCCAGTCTATCTAGATAGCTAATTTTCGTGAATACAGACGACCTATTTTTGAATTTCAGCAGATTCGTAGGAACGTGCTTTGAAGCTGAAGTAATTTGGCCCGAATGATAATGAAAGGGGACTTATATGGCCAGCGTAGCAGCTAGGAGAAGAAACGTTGTAAGTTGTGTCGTACTACTTTGAAGGTGGCTGAACTTCGTTTCAGCTGTCAAATGTTGAATGTGTCAAATGTACGACAACAAAGCCTGGCTCTGCTGTGAGCTTGTTTGCCGATGTATCACACGCACACATGTTAACTTTATAATTTATAGCATTCTCTATTACTTTTTTTCTACTAAATCTTTGCTCGGACTAGACGCCTATAGAGTCATAGTTCAGGCTCTCACCGACGTTTCGTTGCTAAAGCCGTGTAGGAGGCGTGTTGGCTTGAATAATTGTCATCGTAAGTCAATGGCGCGTAATCATCATACCCAACGGTTTGCCCACTTTGTACTGTGTTTAGCTGCAGAGTAAAACGTATTGCTGCTAACTAAAACTTAGAAACGATGCTAACTCTTCGATAACAGTTGAAGCCGGTCATTTATCTATCCTGTAAACATCTTTGATTTAGTTGAAGAACTCTTCTGAAGATGCCTGTCTAAATGGGGAATGCTAAGGAGATGGGACCAAAGGTGAAAGAGGACATCTTTATTTTCGCTCTGTCTGGTCAATGGCACTAGAAGTATTCGCACGGTCCATTTATATTTGTTAGTCATTACTGTTGTTATTGCTCGCATGATGAGACGCTACGGACGGGCTGCCTTTATTGTTAGCCATTAACATCCACCGCAAAAAGAACACCAGCAACTGTTACGCGCGCGTAAAACGAAATTGGTGTCCAAGGGCAACCCGTTCTATCACCATATTAAGGGTGATTGTGACAATGTTTACAGACGGGAAGAATTAGCAGATAAGCCCACACGCAGAATGACGTTCACTTTTAATATCTTCTATGTGAAGAGAGGCGGATAGACCAGAAGGCAGGAAAGCCGAATCTACTGAATATATAGATACTTCGATTGAATTCTCTGGGCGACAGGCGGGATATTTACATCGGTGACTCACTACTGAATTAGCATGCTGTGCACATACATTTGTACATAATTTACTCGTCAAAATGAATCACCGCCCCGGAACTAGGCTATAAGATCGGCTTATCACCGTTGGGATGGATCCACAAGATTTGATTTCCATTCGGCTATTCAGCTGTAGAAACGATGCATAGAGAACACAACAATAACGGCAATACGCGTCGTGTGGAACAATCGCCGCGTAGGCAAGCGTCTGTACTATAAAGTATACGGATTTGCTCAGATGTACACAGACTAGTCTCCGCCAAGGATATAATTTACCGAACCGAGAGAGTTATCATACGTCTACATAAAAGACATATACACGTATATATATTTCGCCTTGATACAGTAAATAATCTGCTGTGTCACTGTCTATGTCCACTCTTGTTATCCTATTCGACCGTAAGTCGTAAATTATAATATAGTATAAGCGAGTCGGAATATAATCGACAGATAGACCTTAAGGCTGATGCCGTCGCTCGAGCCCTGTGGACCTCTTACTGACCGCTGGTAAGCGATGCTGGGGATACAATGTCCGGTCGGATTTTTTTTTACCAAGAAAGCTCACGCTATTAAAATGGATAGGCCAGTTTGAAATTTGCTCGTCCGCTAAATATGGCGTGCTTCGAATACAAATCTGCACCGTTATATAACTAGCTGGCTGATATTCTTGTCTGGACACTTATGATGGTTCCGTAGCCTGTCTGCGTCTATTTCCCACTAGCTCCATACGTCTAGCCGAAGTTCGAATGGCGATCAAGGTTAGAGGAAAGAGGAGATTATACAGGTAATTAAACCTAATCGACCATGTTAGCGGCCGCTAACGTTGGCATTGTAAATCATTTATCCTGGTTAATTTTTAAACAACAAAATAAAGACATCGACATTAGACGTAATATTATTGTTTTTGCTTAGGTAAGGCTCTATGCGCTTGATGGCTAAGGTTAACGATTCATGAAACCTTCACAGAAGTGCCCACTTTGTTTCAGCTCAAACGTCTGTATGACAAAAAAGGAGGAAGAAGTCGAAGGTATTTCTCCTGAGAACCTCTTGTTTTCCCTTCAGTCGACTCAGTGCTCAGAATCACCAACGACTCACACCTGTATCACCAAGGTAGGATATTTGCCTTTGCCTTTATTAGGTCCATTACTCGCATCACTTAGGTGTACGAGATTTTTACACACCCATTAATGGGTGTAATCGTGTTCAAATAAATCGAATTCACGACTACAGTAGTGTCTGTGGTGGCCGGTTTGAGAATTCCGATCGACCTTTGAGGAGAGATTCCCCATCCGATTACGGTAGGCTGTTCTACGATTGTCATAAACAGATGAATGGATAGTCTTAAAGCTCAAGCATTCCTCAGCTTTTTTCCAATATGATGCCAAATTTGGGGGGTATTGGTCGGTGATGATCCTGAACTTTTAGGTAACCAACCTTGGCTGGCTTCATCCATCCGACAATAATGAAACTTAGAGCGGGCAATTCGACTAACTTTGATTGTAATATCCCTGTAAGCAATACAATATATACATACTCGCGGTTTATATCTAGATTTTCACCTTTTTGTTCAATGACGACAACAGATCCGCACTGCAAACGAAAGCAAAAATGTCATTGAGAAGTACACTTGCTGTCATGGATTTACACGCCGTCAGGATGGGCCAGGGTGTATTGAAGCTGACCTCAAAGTAAGTGACTCCAAGAATCATAGAGAACGGCGAAACGGTTCAACTAACTTTTGCTCGTTTAAAATTCAAGTTTATTATGTAGTTCAAAGTACAATATTTTATTAAAAAAACTAGCTTATAGCGATAATTATTCCAGCCCGTACTATTGACTGAATTTACGGCCCTAGTTATCAGCGAACTTTCCCATAATGAAAACGCATTTATAAATACCGAATATACAGTTTTCTTTATTCTTTGCTGTACTGTTTGTTTTTCTACTAAATGGCAGAAAAAAGAATATTTGTTATTTTCATACTTCACTTTCTGCAAGTTAATGGAACTTCCCTTTCAAAACGACCCTCAGCCTCCGAATACGCTAGACTTCACTCGACTCCTTTTACTACAATGAACGACGATGCTCGTAGTCAGTTTAACGATACCTTTAATATTTGTTGTCATTACGCGTTTTCATTTTTGTCTCAGTCAACCTAATTTCTATTAATCTACCAGTATTATAATTTCATCATACAAGTTACATCTATGTTACGTAAAACATGATACATTTTCTATTCGCACAGGGACACATGTGGCAAATCCTATCCACACTTTCATAACTTTTTTTACTTATTGTTCGATCCACAAAAGGCCGCTATTTCTAAACGCGTTCCGCCCCTCAGCGATTTAGGATTCGAAGTAAGACAAGCCCTATAATTAGTTACCATTTTCGCTCTGCTTATGCGAATGTTGTAATTATTACGTTACTCTTCTTTAAACAATATCCGAACGGAAATGCTCGGCATCGTCTGATCTGAGTCATCTCTTTGGCCATTTTGGCATAGAATTAGCCTCTTTTTTATGAAGGATTTGAAAAGGTACTCAAGCGACTCACAGCTATATAGATAGACGACAGGTACGTCAAAGCTGGATCCGTTAAGCGACTGTTTGGTCAACGCCCCACCTTAGCCGTCGTGGGGATAAGGGGGATGGGGGGTATCGACGTCGTACATTGTTTGTGCATGTGTGTGTTATCGGTTGCCGGTGAAGTGTCTGTTAGTGTGTCTTTCGATATATCTGGCAGAAGTATCTTTAGCTCTAGGACCGTCAAACGCAGCGGGCGTAACGTCGCTCGCTTTGCGCCTACTGAGCTAACAAGCGCTAGCGTGCGGCAAACGCTAGCAAAACACTACGAAGATAATCCACGATGGCAACAAGAACCATACCAAAGTCCACAAAATGGATTGCATCCACAATCAGCTAACAACAACAGCCGGCTAATAATACCAATATAAAGTAGGTTGAAGTCAGTCCGCTGAACGGAGCTGCTCAAGTGGGAGCCATTGGGAGGCAAGGCCTTTGACTCGAGAGCCGTTGTCGACCTGATGCATCAGCACTGTAGTTCAGTGAATGTAAAAAGAGATACGTGTAATTGTGGCAGAATGTAGTTCTATCGTTCTACGCGTGTCAGAAAAGCACAACGTTGACGATACTCTTTGATTTCTATTCAATGCGAAATGGCTTCTTTTTAGTCGAAGCCTCCCGCAGCGCACTGTGTTCTCTTGTGCCATTCTTCTTCCTGTCGAGAGCTTGAAAGCCCTGACAAGATGCATCACAGAAAAGCTTCTGGGTTCTTTTGAATTTAGTTGAGAAATCGAAATTTACGGTTCGTTAGTGCGGCCATTTCAAGGGTAAATCGAAACGAAAATAAGTATAAAGTAGGGGACCGTTCTTGTCTTGAGATCTTTTCATGTCTTAGCGTATGAGAAATCAAAATGAATTATTGATTTGTGATGTTTTATAATTTAAGACCGACCGGTCGTTCGTGCCCCTACGTATTTATTACTAAATTAGTGTGGGATAGAATATGGGTATTGATTAAAATCAGTCGAGTGAATCTCTAATTATCAGAATGTTCTCACTGCGAGCGCCTCCTGTTATTCTATCGATGTCTTTTTTTCCGTTATTGCCATTTGCTCATATCGCCCTTGCATCATCGTCTTTGTGTCCTGGATTTAAGTGCAGTCAGTATTTCGACACTCGTTATCGGTTACGTTATATAAATATATATATATATATATATATATATATATATAGACGAATAGGTAAAATGGCAATGCACAACTATGTGTCATGTCAGTCTTTCAATACGTCTCACGTGATTGTCAGTCTTGTATCATGCCGTGACGGGACACGTTTTTTGGAGGGCTGACAGTGAGTAAATACAGATAGCTAAAGCAAAAACGCTTATCACAGGTGTTGCTGTCGTTACCCTTGAAAGCAACTGGAGTGGACTCTCGACGCAAACCTACATGTTGCTTTTGCTCTTATTATAGCAGAGTGTATATGCGTGTGTGCGTGCCTATTACCGGCAGTTATGACGTTCCGTTGACTGCCGTTGCAGCGGCCTGAGGCGATGCCTCTCGGTCATGTTTTGCGTCCCATATTTTTAATAAGAATTTATGGTTCGTCGACCACAACGATATTTCGTTCATCAGACAATGTATCTGAACGTCCTCCGAGACTGACGTAACCTAAATAACACCATTCTGTGGGATAGCTTACGTATCAGATGCAATTTTTGGTCTGTCACATTGACAAAGTCGACAATGATTTGAACCGCTGTTTGGTTTGTTGTCGTAAACCCTGGGATTTGCCATCTGGAAGCTGGGGTGGTCTGGACAGATGAGACCTATTGAATACTATATATGCAACAAAGAGCAATATTGTATAGGGAATAAAAAAAGCCAATCATCGATTAGCAGTCATTACCCCTTTTTTAATCTCCTGGAACTGGTTGGTGTTGAATTGCAGTTATATTTACGAAATGCAAGGTACTCATTCCTCCAGAAATTTCGCTGACTTGAGATGAACTTGGCCTTTTTTTCTTTCACAATAGATCACTGGAAAGTTAAGAAAAACATATTAACTTCTCGTTGAAGATCGAAGGTGCACCGTGAAGTGCTACGAAGCTTCAATTGGCCAACGTAACCTATTTTTGTGGGAAATAAGCATCTTTGTTAAATGCGAGATGATGCCTTTTCGGGTAGTGAAACTCTTTACTAGAAGATGCTAAACATTTGCTGCTTCCCGTGAAGCTGATGTAGCTGTGCGTCCAGATATTATCGTACGACACCGAGTACCACGTCTTAACCAGCAATGAGATAATAAAGCTCTCTTTACATCTGTAAGCTATGGAATTGAAAGTTGACGGATTGTGATAGCCGGTATCCATTTGCGGAAAGCACATGACACGAACAACAACGACCCTTACCTACCAGGCCCTTTTTTTTACTCACGAAAAACTGCCAAATTATGCCTTCGGGTCCTACTTTATCACAACAGTTTCGATTTTTCATCTCGATAGGCCTAGTAGTTGATGTAAACTGTACAAATCAAAGAAAAGACCGTATCGTTATTAAATATGTCGTAGGTGACGAGCTCCCAACTCACTGTTATGCAATAGGCGCAATATAAATGTCTCCATCAATTGCCGAATCATTGTTGGGCGTAAGAAATAAGAAGCTGATTTCCTTCTTTACCTGTTTCATTCCCTGGTACAAATATGATACGCTTTTAGTTTGCCAGTATGTTGTATTGGTTTGAGGTTATCCGGTCCAGTTGAGCAAAAAGAGACAAACATTTCTTTAATAGAAGTTTTGTGCTTGGCTATGTCTTTAGAATGACATTTTCAATAAAAATTTCCTATTTCTTAGCTTTCCAATGGCACTCGGTGTAGTAATAATAATAATGTTATTCAGTCGTCAAGTCACCACAGGTGACTCTAGCAATACTTTCATCAACCGTAATAAAGCAAAGCTTAACTCTCATTCTCTACCAGCCGTAATTCAAACGCTTGCTTCCCTGACTTAGACAATACTAATGCTATTTCGTCCCTCTTATAGGACCTAAGTGAGGCACTAAAAATTATTGGCACCACAGAATTTGGGAAATTTGTAGACGATTCAAAAGTTACCAAGCGGAGCGGTTCAGACGTAAACGTAACCGTGTTCGCGCCTACCAACAATGCCATTAAGAAACTCGAAGCGAAGGTTAGTATAAAATGTTTAGCGTTTACAAACCTAGTGTATTCTAACCCAGCGAACTAACCTAGTATATGTAGATGAAAACGTTGGCTTTGAAGGACGTGGCGTCGCCTAAAGACTTGACTTCAAAGTCTTCAATGATATATGTGTATGATAGAATACTATAAGAACGGCAAGATGATCGCTATATCGTTGCTGCTTATATCTAGCTCGATTCAGGAATAATATGAAACACGTTTTAGAATCCAGTCATAAGGAATCTCCGTTTCGGCTACGGCGTACGGCCTTTGCCCTACAATGGCTACGTCAAAGTACAGTAATATGCGCTAGCGTTTAGGACCCGCTTCATTGATGATAATGACAGTGGTACCTTAGTTCGAGATGTTTATATGAAATTACAGAAAGCTGAAGGTGGAAACGGCGAAGGGGAGAACGAGGTAAGCTCAGCAGATATGGCCAGCGCGCATATGCTCGAGGGATACTTCCAACTGGCTGATCTGGTCGACGAACAAAAAATTGCAACACTCGACGACAAGAGCTCTATTCGATTTAATGAATTCTACAATCCTCACAAGGTATTACTTTAAATGACACGCCCCAATCGTTTTTAATTGCTTCGATTCAAGTATATAATAAAGTGCTAAATCGAACGTCGAAAACACTACAGGATTGTAACGTTCACGGAGTGTCATAGGATATGGTGGAAACATTATAAGCTTACGTATCTATTGTAGCAGTTTTTATTAAAAATTAGATGTGGATTAATTTTTTGTTGCGAACGAAGCTTGACTTAGTTGGTTTCGACTTCGTTTAACCCTCACGCAAAATAGGATGCCGGTCAAAAACAGCAGCTAACAGCTAGCTAATTAGGCGAAAATGTCCTGATCATGATGCTATCATTAATCGCCATATATCATGTTTAGGTGCTCACAGCTAACTGCGTGCCCATCGTTGCGGCTGATAACTTCCACAAAAACGGAGTAATTCATGTCGTTGATGGCTTCCTGCCTATCCCAACGAAAACCGTTAAAGAAGTACTTAGCAGCGACCCTCGATTTTCCACCTTTAGCGAAAGTAAGTTCATCTTTTGATACACAAAATGTTATTGTTATATATAGGGACAGGTCGGCAGTGTTTGTCGACGCCGTAATATGGACGGCAAGATCTCCGTGGAATGACCCAGGAGCCGTTCGTCCAAGGTACGTCATTAATACATGCCACATAATGTATATGAATAAATGAAGGGCGAGATTGTGATTCTTTCCTATAGAATTGTTACTGTGGAACAGATAGAAGTAGAATTTGCTATAAATCTAGACTTCGCCAGGTAGGATAAACAATTTCTGCATTACCTGGCTCATTAATATTTACAGTTTCTTACATTTTGGCTGGCTTGTTACCCGATAAGGTCTGATATAATTAGGGTTAACTATTCACTATATTAACCTTAAGTGACACATGAATTTGAAGTCATTCTATTGCGATACTGGAGATTAGCTTCAATATTCTGAATTGAAAGTGGTTGTAAATCCTATAGCTATATTTTTATATGAACGCTATCGTTTATATATTACAGTTCTTGGCATGAGCGAGCTGGTAGACAAACTTGATGACCAGGAAGCTCATTATACAGTATTTGCACCCACCGAAGACGCCTTCAAGGGTATTGATGCTGAGACCCTAGAAATGTGGAAAAAAGGAGAGGGTAAGCGATGATTATACGAAGTCAAATAACTCCGCTGTTTATTGATTGCTGTTGGTCGGGAAAGCCTTCTTCTGTACTCGTTTGATCCTTCTGCGTCACGCACAATCCCCGATAGTCTAGGGGTATTTTATGACGTCTCTGGTTGAAATAGGGCTCAGTATATACGGCTCTCAAAAGTTCTTCCATTTATTCTCATAATTAATTTCGAATGGCGAGCAATAAATGTCGATGAGTGCTTTTTTTTGCTAGCATATATAACAACACATACTGTGTTATAGGTTGCGTGGATCAACTGCTTCAAGGACACATAGTGCCTCACACAATCTGCACATCAGCTGTACCGCAACAAGCCCGTGTCCGCAATGTCCTACGAGTACCAATCATGTTGCAGAAGAGTCCGGATGGTCGCGTTACTGCGGAGGGCGTCGAAATTGAAGAGAAAGACATCATCGCAACTAACGGAGTCGTGCATGCACTCAAAAACGTCATGCTTTCGCAGACAAGCAAATCCCTCCTCGATACCCTTAAAGCTCACAAGCTCATTGATCTCGTCCATCTCATTGATAGCAACGAACTTACCGAGCGTCTTAACGGATTGAAAAACTTTACCTTCTTTGCTCCTACAGAGGAAGCAATCAAGGATGTGTCGCTTAAAGAGTGGGATTCGATGAAGGCCGAACAAAAAATTCAGGCTCTATTTCTATACCATACAACTGAGAGTAAAGTTGGCCTAAAGTCCTTATTTAATAATATGATCATGAATTCGCAGCTTGAAAAGGCGCAGATTCGTGTTAACGTCTATTCTCGTAATAACAACTTTGATGATGCGACGTATAGTGCTCAGTGTGCACGTATTGTCAGTCGGCCCATTGACGTCTGTGGTGGCTCTATTTATTTTGTCGATAAGGTGCTTCGTCAACCCGAAACGTCAATTTGGACCCTTATTGAGAACAACAAGAACCTGCAGGTGTTCCGCAAGCTGGTCACAAAAGCCGGTCTCGAAAGTCAACTTAAAGAGAATACGGGTCCTTTCACTGTTCTGGCTCCCACTGACGAGGCCTTCAAAAAGCTAACGCGCGATGAAATGGAGGCTCTAGAGAAGGGCGATGGCGTCGAAGCTCTTGTGAAAACGCACATCCTTACCGATATGCTGTGCTCAGCAGGTGTTAACTATAACAGCGCCTTTGCTGTGCAGGAACACAGAAATCTAGATGGGAAATCCGTGTCCGCTCAAAGGTCACTACGTGGTCACGTGTATTTTGGAGGTGCACGCGCTGAAGACAAAGACCTAACGGCTAACAATGGAGTCGTGCACATCATTGACCGTGTACTTAATGCTCAGCCTGAACAGAAGCCACAACCTGCACATGCTCAGTCTCAAGGACCTCAACCTCAGGGAACTGAAAATCGTCGCTACGTTTCATTCGAGTTCCCCCACTTTTGAACCGCTTGCAAATAACACTCGCCTAAATTTATGCAAGCCAGCTGACTGCTAGAAATTGTGAGTCGACCCGAATGATCCCGAAGGTTACACAAAACAATCGACATACATCTGTCATACACATGACTATAGGATTGCGTCAAGCGACCGTAACGACTGGAGGAAACAAAGCTATTTATTTCGTCTGGAAAAACCATTTGACGTGGTATAACAAGTACTGTTTCATATACGAAGTGCTTTTTAGGAAATGCTATACTGAAATTAAATTAATATGTATGAGAAGTGAGTCGATAAGAAGTAAGAACGTGAATATAAATAGGATTTAAAATATCTACTACATATCGAAGCCATATGATTGGCGCTGCACTCAAGGTCAAACTTATCATAACGGACTCCGTTATGACATGAGCGCCACTCTGAATACTTTGTTGTGTTCACGACGCGACAGAGTCTATAATGTAAAAATATAAAGACTTGAATATACTTTGCCTCGTGATTCAATAATAAATTATTTAATAACGTTATTATTGCTGTGTGATCATGTTTGGCTCAGGTATCATGCTGTAATTGTATAAACAAATTTATTAACATGTACTTTTTAACATCGTGTCAGTGTCCGTTAGCGTCTAACATTACAAATAACACGTTTGTCAAACCAAAATTATATTTCGATACAAGCTTCTATATGCTTCCAATAGCTTTTTTTTTTTGGTGATGTCGATTGTTAGAATATAGCACTTTCAAATTTAAGGGATAAAGGTCATAGTTTTATTTATATATAACCATATATTAATATACAGAATGAATTTCGATTGTAGACACAAGATCTAATCATACTGTAAGGTAATTCTGCCGACGAGAAAGCCGAAAAAATATTTACGATTTTTGCCCTATTTCTCCTGCCGCTAACCTGGTGACTTCCCAGTTGATTATTACAACGTAGGGTTAACCAAATTGTGCATGAGATCATGTTTTTTTTTTCACAACGAACTACCTGGGCCTAGTGCGTACGGGGTAGGGCACTCAGGCAGGTAGTTCGGATAGCGCTGCTCGGTGAAACCGTTATTTTTGATAGTAAAAACAGAGCAATAAATTCATGGTGGCAAAAATCATTTTTGAATTGGGAATTTGAGCCCAGATCAATTATTATCTGATCCTCCAGCGCGAAACAAAGCTTCACCAAATTAGAAACTTGACTTTTTGCCCGTAATCAGCAGTCTACGCTATTGCCAGTTTTTATGCGATTTCTGAAAAATTTAGGGAAGACTCCCATGAGGCAAACCAGAAGATTTTTAATAGGGTTCCAGTTTGAAAATGATTCTAAACTAGTCAAAAAGCCATTTTTGATACATCTGAATTTTTGATACACTAATTAACAACCGTTTTGGGGAGAGGAATATCAATTGCCAATTGGCTCTACACCATAAGGTCAACCGTTTTCGAACTTTCGGACCAAAACGTTTTTTGAACCTTTGGTCGTTCTGAACCTTTGCACTTTTGGGGACACTTAGCCTACTATCACCGAAAAATTTAATACTATTGCATTTTTTGCGTAGCGTACTAGTGCGGCACATCAACTAGTTTGTTAGAGAACTCTTTGCAAAATAAAGAAGAATATTCTGAAGATAACTAGCAAGTAGTTTAGGTCCCGGATTGAAGCTGTGAATAACTACGACTGCCAGAGATGACATTTCTAGCACATGCAAAAAAATCGAAGAAATGTTTGTGCAAAATAGTATATCCAGATCTAGGTGTTCCATTTATTAAAAAAAAAAAAAAAGATGTATATTGCTGCCAGTTCAGTAGTTCATGTTCCAGCGCTCCAAGCTGTGGCCTCGTAAATCACTGTCATCGTGCCATTTTCTTTTTTATTACACGACGACCCGTTAAGAGTTCGTCGTGAACGATTAATCTGCCGGCAGTCTATTAGCTTATCAAAGACGGCAGTAAATGAAAACACAGCAGAAGATCGGAAACGAACAGCGAAGACGAGCGGATGGTTCAATGCTGGCATTTTTTCGATCTCCACTCTGGTCCAAACAAGCGACAAAAAAAGAGAGGGACGTAGATCGTTGCCTTTGCAAGATACCACTCAGTTGGTTGTAGGCAATTACAAGTATATAACCTATTATATAAGATCTCCAAGAATTGCCCTTCTATGTCCAGCCGCCCTTTACTGGCTGCCTGGTTGTGCAGCGTGGCGTCGCCTTGGTCTCCAACCCTCGCCGAGGTGAGAGACCTGACGTCGAGGGTGAGGGCCTAACTCCACCTATGGCGCACAAGAAGTCTGATGGAACCGCATGCAGCATTAAACAGAACGCGATCGCAAGTGGAAGCTGGAGCAGCATTAGAAAGAACCGCACGAGGCGTGCGTCGCGGCCTCTGTCGTCCGTCGGCAGTTGTGCTGTACGATGAACGTGCCACTGTGCGGAAAACCTGAACCCACCTGGCCGCGCAAAGACGTCAATAACGATCATGACAACGCGGAAGCAGCGGATAGCGCGCCTTACTGTAGTCCACTTCGCACTGGACGAAAATTGTAAGAAGAAGGAAAATCATATTAATACGTTCTGTATGCGTCTGATGGCTGAACTGCGGCATTGACGTATTTTGTTATTGCTTAGACAATACTAGTGGGTGAAGTGCAACTAGTTAGTGATAAAGGGTTTTGAGGTAAAGGCGCTACGCGCTTGCTGTATGCACAATAGAACTTGTGGTCTCTAGTGAGCGCAGATGTATCTATACGTCTGTTTGTATGAAAATGTGTGACGAAGAAGTTGCAAACCCCATAGAAGGATTACGCACCGTCGAGAAAATAGACATTGCTTGGTGCTTACTTGTTGAGACAATTACATGCATTATGAAAATTTTAATAACTTTCACATTTTGAATGTGAAAAAATGTGTTCGATTGTCCGTAATAACGGCCCAACCGCTGTGAAGTCGCCCGTGGAAGAGATGCTACGCTATATCGATTCTCTCCCGGATGATCCGCCAAAAGCGAAAGTAGAAATTCGCACACGAAAGTTTTGGGCGGCAGTTTGGTCGGAATTTCTAGCTACACTTCTATTAATTGTTGTGACCAGCCCATCAACAGGTGAAGTGGATGTTCGACAAAGTTTGGCAGTCGGGGCAAGCGCTGCCCTGCTCACTTACACGCTTCAAGGAGCAGCTTTTAATCCAGCTGTCAGCATCCCGCGATGCCTGGTCGGTCGTTCATCACTTCTTAAATTGTTTGCTAGCGTCCTGGCACAGGCGTTTGGCGCCGTATTAGGTAGCTTGTTAGTCTTCGCTCTTCAAAGCGAAGGAAATCAGCCCTTAATAGAAACGAAACTACATCTTAGCCAGGTATTTGCTGTTGAGTTCCTTGGATCATTTGTAGTGGTCCTCACCGTTCTCACCTCTGATGACGATGTTGAGAGTGGTTTAATGAAGTTCCAAGCGTTTCCGGTCGGACTTGCGTACGGGGCCGCTACACTTTTTTCGGTAAGTATCAATGTAGAACAGAGAAGTTCTAATCACATTGCGTACGTGCAGCATGCATGACGATGCATAACCATTGTTATTTAAAGGGGGCTTTTTAGAGGCTTATGTCTCGGGTCACTCCGCCGGAAGTTAACGGTTCGAGTTTCGTGGTAGGCTTATGGGATCAATGTCGATGCACAAAGTATTTTTCAAAAAGAATATTGTAATTGCTATTGCGTGGAGAAACGTACCGTTAATATGTACTCGGCTTGACACGTTGACTAATCAACACGTGTATCCTGAAGGTCAATTTTATTTTCTATGATGAACGTTTATTCGGCATAGCTTGCAAGGATCTAAAGTACTACCGAAAAAATCGAAGCTCCTAATTTCTGTTTTGACTTCAAGCGCAGGTTCTCACAGTAACTTATTCAAGTGTCTGAGGTCTTCAGAAATAGGAAAACAACGTTGGTGCTAGACTAATCCTAATCCAATAATAAAATTTATTTAGGGTGTGCCTTAATATCTTTGTGACAGAACACGCGTTTTGCTATAGCTCATTAAATTAGGACAACAGTAGGCTTTGATGATATTTATAAGCCATATATAAGCAGCCTATCATAAATTTCGTCTATAAAAGAAAAGAAAACACTTTTTTCTATTTTCTAAACGACAGGGATATTTGTATGCAATCACTTTATCATCCATTTAGGCAGAACGAACAAGGCGTATCATCCAAGAGGAGAGCGATATATTTTTAAATGACCTTTTCGACGTCCATGACGGTTTTTTGACTATCGTTCGGTGAGCGCCTGAACGGTTTTCCTTTTTCACGAAAAACAATATATTCTTGATACCTTATTGGATTGCTATAATGAATTGCGCTTCGTATCTTCCGAATTCAACACAATCGATTTGCAAGAACCGGACTCTAATCCTTGCCTTTGGATCATTTCGAAATCGTCGTGCAACCTGCTCTGAATAGAATATGAATACGAAATGAGCCTTCTCGAAAGGCTAGATCAGATAGCATCTCACGATCACGAAACAAAATTAGTCCTAAAAAATAGCCGCTGTGTTTTCGTACCTATTCATAATTTCCCGTAGTAGGAGAAGTTGAGTCACTCAAGTTCCTCTCTAGATGGGTGGCCTTCAAGAAGTTCAAGTAAAGAACAAATCAACATATTAAATGATAAGCCAGCATTAAGATACAATAGCAATTCATTTACGTGGGGACCAGCGGCGGGAGGATTTAAATTCGAACAAATGCTTTTTCGGAAAACTGTAAGACAACGTCTCAACGATTGTCTAAGTATGTTACCACCTCATCACGAAATCATAATATGTATTACTGTGATTTTACTTTTTTGGACAAGTTTAGCCTTTTACGTACTACAAACTGTTTTTTTTTTTTTTAAATCTAGACTCTTTTGCTTCTGTACGCTGAACATAAACTGATCCGAAACGGATTCTTAACAACCGAACCGTAGACCTAAGCTGTCTCGTGTGACCTACATTGAAATAATTTATCACCACGAAGAATACATATACTAGGAATGCCTTGCAAAGTCTTCCATTCTCTAGGGATGCGGGCGGTATTCCTGTGTGTTGCCCTGAGTACGTCCTGTTTAGATTCATCTTCCCTACTAGGCAGAGAAAGAAGCAAGTCGTTTGCTGTGACAAGCACACTCGATCAAAGTCAGACGGAACCTGAACTTTTACTTATATCATCATGCCTCTAACTATGCTTGCCCTTCATTCCTCTGATATATATGATAATAGCGCACCCTCCTTAGTATACTGTATTGCGCTACGTGTTCACTTCCGTCTATGGAAATATATTCCTTTGAGTTTCTCTGATGAAGAGGAAAGTAGAGATGACGAGGAGGAGAAACGTCGCTACAGCGGTCTCGTTACGGGTGGGTTTGTCAATGTGAAATCTGGGTAACAAAAAAACTGCAAATACTGTCCTAACCACTGCCCAGCAGAAAGTGACAAAGCAAAAACGCAGCTCGAAATTTCCATGAGTGGTACTTTTGTGCCATTGAACTGTTTTATTTTAAAAAGAAAGTATATATATATATATAGAGATAGAAAAAGGAAAAATAGCTAAAGTTTAAGAGTGGGATGCTTGGATAGGATCAGGGATGAGGTCAATGATAGTCTGATAGTTTTGTGCAAGAGAATATACTATACAGTAAAATATTATAATGGTCCACCGTGTTAATTGTATTAAGTACAAACAGTATTCATTATTACTTTTCACAGCAATGAGGACAACAATGGCTTACAAAAATAAAAAAAAAAAGTTGTAGTTCGTCGCCAAATTATTTTATAGAGGATAAACTATCGGTATTTATTTGACATGATACATCTCGAACTGCAAAACCAAAGTCATATACTTGTAGCACTTGATTAGTTCCAGTCATTATTAGCTTGCTTGAAAAGAAATGGCAGTTTTCTCATGTACTGAAAACGTAGGCCAAGTCCTAACAACGAATTTATTTATTCACCGACACTCTTTGCGTATCTATCAACCAATTTCTTTATCCCGTGAAGCCCGAAATTTTCAGGTGTAGTGTTAAAGTACTTGGCGGGCAATTTTTTGAGTTTTTTTTTTTATTATTTAATGTACTACTATCAATAAAATTTTCAGTGATTAAAAAAAAATATTAAGTTACCGAAACTGGCGGATGCAAAAAAAACCTGCCGGTGAATCTTCTGCTGCGCAGTTTCAACGACCTTTGCCAAGTGTACCTGATATTATCGTAAAGAAGACTTTGCTTTGCCTATGGGGTTTTTACTGCTTGATACCTTCATTTATTCGCTGTCAATAAGCCATATACGGATTTTGTTGACCATTCCATTTTTCTAAAGCATTACATCTAATGTATAAGATTGTTTCAGTCCCACCAGTCACGAATCATGTTTTTTTTTTCTGATGCGTATCTAAATAACAGACATATATCCAGAAGCTTCCCGTTTCCTTTTTTGCCTCCTATCGACGTACGTAGAGATACCACAGCTCATCGTCCATATTAAATCTGCATTGGAAACTGTAATCTGTCCGGATTTGTTGAGAAAATGAGAAGCGCGCGTGCCCTTTACCCAATTTACGAGTCACCCAAGCTCTTGCTTTTGGCAAACTTCTATAGCGAATGATGCAGCCTATCTTCTTAGCCAATTAACGAATTGGTTGCCATCTACCGCATTTACCATCTCCATATGGCCAAGCAGGAAGGCATTTTCTAGGGCCCAGATGTTGGCTTTAAACTTAACGCACTAGCTTTGCGCAGTATTCTCGGTCATAGAGCTTTCGCTAAACAGGCCGCGACTTTTGGACATCTGCAATCATTGTTAACTTCAGCAAGCAACGAAGTACCGAATAGATATGAGCTTTCTGAACCCTAAACTTGAGACAAAGTTCAATTCACAACAATGAAATTACAACGGGGTTATAGAGGTTAAAGAAAAGCTAATTTTTTTTTTATTAGCCTATGGAAGCAAACAGACGGTAGAGAGCTGAATAGAAGAAACGTCTGATGAATCATGTTATTATTTTCAATGTGATGCAAAATTAACTGCTAGGGTGGATCAAAAGTACAATGATAACAGGAAGCCTAAGAAATGCATAGAATTTACCTACCAGAAAATAACTTACGGTAGACACCGACTCGCCATTCTTGTACTGCCTATGGACCCTAGCGGGCTTAGTCGGTACAATTTCTATTAGCAATAGGCAAGAGAATTCACATAAATTCGGTAGAGCCGTAAACTTTCGATAAAAATAGTCTACGGCGGGACGGCTTTACCAGACGGACCTGGTATATGGGACGACCAATAAGAAATACAAACGGTTCGTTTAGATCCTAGTTACCCTGTATGTTTACGGCAGCGAAGTCTCAGCGACTACCAACCTATTAAACGTATTTTTTTTCATGAAATGTGAGATAAAATTTAATACTAATAATGATAGTTCATATAAAAATACAGAGTAAGCGTTTTCTCACCAAACTATCTCTCGATATGGCAAAGTCATTAAGTTGGTGCCAATCGGTCTAATAGGTTTGAATCCAAGGGTTAGGGGCAGTACTTGACATAGGACCGCCCATAGTGTCACACATTGAATAACCCAAATATGAGGCTATACGCCACCTAAGTAACCCCTAGTGGATGCGTGAGGAACGAGATGAATCGCCAGGAAATTATCGTCGCATATTAATGAGAGAAAAACTGGAATTTGAAAAGGGAATACTAGACAGATTCGGCTAACTGGCAAAACGTGTAACTACCCATATCTTAATTTCTCTTTGAATTTCTTTGCAAAACAAAATTGTATTATATAATTTATTGTTTTTAGATGACTTTAAAATATAGTTTAAGAATTAAAATGTCTGTAATTGCGCTCTTTTGGATACATACATAAAGAGAGGAGCTTAAAGCTATGTGCTATGAGTTCCAGTAATTTTTCCTACAATATGAAAGACTTCCCGGAATAATAACGTGGTATGCTGTATAACCGGAAGTTAGAAAAAGTGAAGCCATTTTTTGGATTCTGCTGGGTTATTTAAATTTATATTTCGATCCCCATATATTTTGTACACTTTTAATTCGTTTGTAGTTTCTTGTTTTCTGTTTCTATTTTTTTCATAACTATAACATTCATGTACTGAATTGTTAAAAAACACTTTGTTTTTATAGCAAGTTGAAGGGATTTAAGTATGTTTATTAGGCAAAGCTCAAAGCTCAAAACTACTTGTTACAAGCTTTAATCCTCGAATCTTGTTCTAATCCTACGTGAGCCATAGTCCCAAAATACGGCAGATGTGCAAGCATATATATATATATATATATATATATATATATATATATATATATATATCGTGTCCATTGTTTTTTACAAATGCTACATAGTTTGACGTAATTATCGAACGTTTCATTGCCGCGGCCGCAAAAGGACAATAGGAAACTACTTTAGGTGCTGCTGTTGGACTTTGTTTGCTATCCTGTATGATTGATTT